TACAGTTGTCATAGCCATAATCGAAGATGACAATAATGAGTATACTATTCCTAATAGCGAGAATGAATATCTTGAAGCAGCGATAGGAACTTTATCATTATCATTATCTTGTTGTTGTCGTCCATTTGGAAAAAATAATAGCAATGGTCTAAACATAACATAGACCCATCTGAGAAAAGAATCAATCAATTTAATTCCCGTCCAGTTTATTGCAAATAACTCTTGTTGACGTTTCACATTCAATGATAATTTTTCCTTTGTTAAAGATTCAGGTAATATAAAAAGGTAAAATAAAAATAACGTAATATATACTGCCAAAGTTACATAATATACTGAAAGTAAACTATTTGTTGCCTTCACCAACAATCCTCCTAATGTTGGTCCCGCCATAAACCCTGCAAACATTGTCCCTTGTATCCATCCAAAAATCACACTCCTATTAACATTCAGGAGGGTGTTTGTACGAGAGAAATAAATAATTAGGAATAGATGTTAGAGAAAATTTTTGTTACCCCAGCAAACAATACAAAAATTACCTTCGTGTGGGATGAGTAGAATCTGTTGCATATGCATAGCTTGCTTCTGATAATGCATAAAATCCACCTGTTACTCCGTCTATGAATGATCCTATTAAAAAACCATTCATCCCAACTTTGTCTAAAAATCTACAAACTAACAATAGGTTTAACGTGCTTAGAAGCGTTCCGAAGGCTGATATCAATAAAGTTTTTTTACGCCCCTTCCGATCTGATAAAGAACCAAGTGGTCCAAGAACAAATATGGCTAATAATACACACCGGTAAATTAGTTGAATCATGCCAAATTATTTCTTTTTAAAAGATTATTTACCTGGGATCGCTGTACAAAAATTTGCTTTGATAAGGAATCGAGCAGTTACTGCTTGCACATCAGCATTATTACATTTATCAATAATACCATTAAATAATAAAGGAATTGAAGCTTCTCCATTTTTTGAATAATATTCATGGCATACGGCTCTTAAATAAACTTGCACTCCAACTGCTACGGCCAACCCGCTTGTCATTGCTATCACTACAAACATTGGTATTAACCAATATGCAGAAGGTGTCTTGTACCATGGTTTTTTAAGAGGCGAAGTTGAGGTGGAAAGCTCTTGTTCTTCAACTTCAACATCGATTTTATCAGAAGTGGGTCTTGTAGTCAAATTTTTTTTTTAAAAAAAATGAAATGATTTGAAAAATTTTTCATTGAAATAAAAAAATAGCTACATAACTATATAATACCTTAAGGAAAACTTACAAAAGAATGTATCTTGAGGTTTTATTACTACCACTACTATTCTCCATTTTGACGAGCCTATTCCATAAAGTCTAGCTTAATTATCAACTTTAATGAAAAGTATAAATAAAAATTTGCGCAATATTAATTTGGGATTTGTCTTTTTGGGAAACAATGGTATGATCAGCAATGTCTCCTGACTATATAAATCATGAAATAGAATTCTTAACGATAGAGGATTCAAGATGAAATACCGTAGTATTTCCACCCCATCCTTAGCAAGAACGTTCAAATGCATGACCAGGGCCTCAGACAATCACAATTGAAGTGGTATGGAAGGAAGAACATGTGGAGCTAAAAATTACTGTTGTGAAAAATTTTGAGGTAAAAAAGAAAAGTTATCGTGCAAGAGAAATAGTTTAATGGTTTGTAATGTGGGAAGAAAATAAAATTCAATATTCTCTAAATTTTTTATAGATACCAGTGGATGTAGGGTGTAAAATACCGGCATAAGACCGGATTGCTATGATTGCAAATCACTTCAATTATAACAAATCCAGAAGGTCATGTTCACCATGTCTGAGTTTGTTGCAGCCTGCCTCATATCACAATAATGTTGATGGATGGATAATCAATAATGATTATATAATTTTACCAATTGCACTTTACGAAATTGTGGTAAAGTTGGTCAAAATTGTTTCCTAACTTTACGTGAATAATTCTTGTCGGTTTAATCATTTTTGCTTTCTTTAGAATCAGCTTTATTGCTTTGATCTTTCTTGTCCGACACTTCTTGTAAACTCGATCAGTTTATTGATAATTTTTTTATTTAATAAAACTTTGATTTAAAAATGAAATCATTTATTTCCCCTCTTTTACCAAAATAACAATCATCCTTTTATTACAAAAAAAATCAAGAGATTTTTTTAAGTGTGGTCTGGTCTCTTATTATTTATTATACATTCGTAGCCAAATCTTAATGACCGTACAAACCCTTCCATATGGTTACAGATCATAAAAAAATTGTTTTAATCGTATTACTAACGCTCTCAACAATGACGCATTTACCTTCATAGTCTTTACAAATAGAAATCAATATATTTTAATTAAGAAATTTCTTAGTATCAATTTAGATTAAAGGCATAGGCTCTGAATTTATAGGTTCTGGATGTTGATTTTGTTGGAATAAATGGTAAATTCTGCCAGATATTAGAGTATTTATAGAGACATTGTTTGTCATATTACAATATCGTGTGATCGCTATATTTATCACACTAGCTATTGACTTGCTGGAGATGGAAATCCAATTATATACAAATTAATTGGTTCGAGCTGTTCTTTGTTATTATAGTTGAACCAACCAAGGCTACTTCCTTCAACCGCAAAACTTTTCGTTTAATCGATGCATACACTCATTTATTATTATATAAATAAATTTATGGCCATAATTTTCAAGTTAAAATGAAAAACGAAAGGCCAGATGATGTTATTTTGTTAATAAAAAAGGAGAGAATTTTTGCACGAAAATTATGGCTCAATGATTTATGATTAATTAATTTTTTTGATGTTCTTGAAAGATGACATAAATCATTCTTTACTTTTATCATTAACGACATATTAGCATGTGACAGAATGAGAAATTAAATAATTGAGTTTGACAAAACACTTGAAAGGAGAAGATTAAAACAACAAAGGCTTGATTTAATAGAAAAGTTTCAAATGCATTTTAAATAAGGTTATTGTAAACTTCTTAGAACCTGCAAAGTTACCCAACTTTAAACCATTATAACTTTTTTTTAATTAAATACTCAAAAAACTTTCTATTACATTATTTTTCATGTCTAGAATATTGCAAAAATAGAGAGTTTTTGGTAAAATAGCCCATATTTAATAAAGCATCAGCACTTAAAGATTGGCAACATTGATGAAGTCTTTAGATTATTGCCACTATAGGAGAGTTCCTGAATCTGTACTAATAGATATGGAAACTATGACATGAAATTTAAAAATCCAAATTTGTAGAAGATCTGCTGCTTTGTCACGTGAATATTCGGTAAATCGTGAAAATAATCGGTAAATCACGGTTTAGATGGTTGCCGAAATTTCAAATAACATAATAAAGTTACATAACTTTAAACCATTATAACTTTTTTTTTACTAAATAACTAAAAAAAACTTTCTATTACATTAATTTTCATGTCCAGAAGATTGCAAAAATAGAGAGTTTTTGGTAAAATAGCCCATATTTAGTGAAGTATCAGCATTTAAAGACTGGCAACATTTTGTGATGTCTTTAGATGATTGGCACTATATTTCAAAGTTGGGTATTGATTTCTCATTAGATTGGGATAAAGCTGATTCTACAGTTGTTGGATTATCAAATATGGATGAATTTGATGATGTGGTTTCAATTTTTAATAGAGTTATGGCTAGGAAGAATGGTGAAAAAGATCATTGTTTATCTGATCTGGAGATTAAGGTTTACGAAAAAATTAATCAATTGCTTTCGCCATATCATAATTGGGAGTGGGAATCTCCACCACCACCATCTATTACCCTTTGAAATAAACATTTGAAAAGAATGGCAAATAACTTTTTAATAATAATTATTACTATAAATAATTTATTTATTCCAAATTGTTGAAATTCATTAGATAAATAAATTTTTTCAATTATTTACTATTAATTGTCTCAAAGATAGTGTTGGTTTCCCAAAACTAAAGAGCATCACAACCATGTAAAAGTCAAAACTAATTTTGATTTTTTGACTATTGACTTTTGATTTAGTTTTGACATATAACTTTTAATTTTAGTTTTGACTTTTGCCTCTTCAAAATAGTTTTGGTGACCAACACTACTCAAAGTTGACATCAATTAAATATTGTTTTTATTATTTTACTATTTTAACAATCATCACAATACCAAACAGATTCTTCAGATGAAACACATCCAATATTATATTCCAAGAATCCTGAATCTTGATATTTGTCAAGTAAATTTTTTAATTTCAATGATACAGATTCTCCAAAAAAAAGCTGGAAAATTTTTATTGACAATGGTTTAGGCCCCTTCCAATTCGTCATTAACATTTGTAACATATCATCATCAATACTTGGTATTTCTCTGAATATAATTTCTCTTAATTTTTTTGGTAATGTTTGAACTAACACATTAAAAAATGACTTTCCATCCAGATCTCCAAAGTGAATAGATTTTAATGAAAGTATCTCCAAATAGACACAATTGACAAGTATTTCACCTAATTCTTGATCAAATTCACTATCATATAATAACGATAATCGTTTTAATTTATGACAAGATTGAGCAATTGATTGAAGTAGTTCCTGTAAATGGTCTACATCATCTGGTTCCCCTTTAACTACTAAAGTACTAAGATTTTTGCCGTTGATTCTGATGAAACTTGATATGTTTGATAGAACTTTCTGAGAACTGATTTTTAAAATGAGGGTTTGAATGTTTGGCAGCAATGCATCTTTTAAATTGTCAGTTACCTGATAAGATTGATTGTACCATGTTCCGCTACTTAAATATAATTTCCTTAAATTTTTAAATGATGATACATGATAATAATAAATTCACCATCGCCTTGATGCTGTTGTGCGTTAAATCGAAATTGAATTTCAATTTCAATTTTTTCGCGTACAATACTAAATGAAATAATTCATCCATCACTTGAACTTTTTAAAAAGAAATCCACCATTTACCTGATGCCTAATGAACTTTTAAAAGAATGATACCGAAAGGCTCATCTACAGTAATATGTATGTGTGCATGCGTGTATTCATACTTTCGATATTGCTTCTCGTGTTTTATATTTTTTTGAAAAGATTTCTTTTTAAAAAGATACAAATGAAAATCATTACTTTCTAGAGAAATATCCCAAAAAATCCGCTATGCTTGCTATACAAACCAGTGCACAAAATTCTTTGTGGTGAAGATCGGTAGATTTCCGATAGCTTTGAAAAATTCCGGCAAATTAGAGTACCTTTTGTGCACTGGTCAAGCTAAAACGTTTTCTTAGCAAGAGTTTTTTTCATACAGAGTCGCCTCTATTAAAGATCAAATATTATAATGTCACTCACTACACGCTTGTCACCAAGTATATCTTTAATTGATTTCAATAATTCTTCATATTGTTTAACTTCATTTTCAATCCTTCTTTTGTGATATAATTAAGGTTTTATCATCATATTCTTGAAGTTGTGAGACGATATATTCATTAATTGGGTCAGTCATAAGCAACACTTTATATCCCCTCTTCTTAAGAATTTCAACAAATGGTGAATCTTCTACAGCTTTGTGATTTCACCAGCAATATAATATATTGCATTTTGCTTTTCAAGCATTCTTGCAACGTAATATTTTAATGATGTCAATTCTTCACAGATTCTGTTGAATAATAACAAATGCCAGGTTTAAGGTTTTTAACAATGCTCCTTACAAGCTAAGATATCCGGCAATAAATCTTCACAGTCATCCATAATGAATGCACGTATTACATAAATTTTAATGTTGATATGCTTCTTTTTAGTTTCAACAAATCAAAAAGTACACGTCTTGATACAAAAATAATTGCACGAAATTCAAGCTGTCCTTCAGCCGAGAAATGTTTAACAGCCAAATGATCTTCCCGATCGTTACTGAGTGATTTGTAGAAAAAACATATTCTTCATTTTCAATATCATCAAGACTACGAATCCAATTGGTTTAATTTTGTTAAGCTCTTCAATCAACTCTTTGATTTTCTTGGATGACTTTACTCTCTCTTTTTTTCTATCGTTTTAACTTCTTCAATCCTTGTCTTTGTTTCTTCATATTCGTCTCCCAATTTCACTTCTGCTTTCTCTTTTTTCTATTCGGTTTGTGCACAACAAGTTAACCGATAAATTCAGAATGTTTTTTAACAATTCTTTTATTTCTTTTTCCCCCTCAAGATATTCGAGTTGATATTCCTTAAGGAAGATACTGATTTCAGAACCATGTTCAAGAGGTGGGTTGATTGTATCGAGTGCAATGGTGAATGAACCAGTAGCAGCAGACTCCCAAATATGTTGTTCATCATCATTGTGCTTTGTGATTACTTGAACTCGGTCAGCAACCAAATAAAAAGAATAAAAATCCACATCAAATTGACCAATCATAGATATATCAGCTCCAGATTGAAGAGCCTTCATGGACGATTTAGTGCTTAATCGATCAGTTATACCAAAATTATTTACAAGGTTAGTGATAATGGTATTTGAAATTAATGGAAAATAAAAGCCAATTTTACACATTCACGATATAATTTGATTGATATAGGAAACAAAAAATAAAAAAGCAGTTTGAATATTATTAAAGTGTTGGAATTAGCAAGTTTTCTTTTTGGTTTTTAAAAGTATGTAAAGCAGTGTATAAAATTCAATGTGCGAAATGTGCGGGTGTAACATCGTACATTAGTAGTTTTCTGCAGATAGTTTCTAAAATTGTAGAAATCTGCATTAGTTACACACTGAAATTTATACACTGTATGTAAAGAGAGAAGTTTGAAAATTTTGAGACTTTTCATGATTGTACAAAAGGTAATCAGAGAAATAAATTTTTTTAAGTAGTACATGTACCAAGAATAATCACAAGTGAGGAATTAGTCGAACCCAGAGCCTGTCTCAAAAAGTGATGATTATTCCTATACTTTGACCTTGCTAAATTCACACTAATGCTAGTGTTACTGCTAATCGCAAAACTCTGAACTTAAATATTAATGATTACACAATCCTTTTACTTGGTCAAAAAAGTAACCTCATTTATATATAGTGTTTGTATTGATATTTTCTTAAAAAATTCATTCCTTTTGTTCATTAATTAAATTAACAATGAATAGAAAATAAACTAAATAAAATATAAAACAGAAAAACTTAACATCAGCTAATAATATCGTGGCCATATATAATTAAATGCTTTCATTTTATAATGCATTACTAAAAAGTTGATGTGGTAGATGCATCTGCATGAATTTCTTTAATGTTCGGTTCTATTTACCAACATATGTTTTTACATCATAAAAATCTTTTGTATTTAATAAACCTTTATTTTCATTGAATTCATTTTAATAAAAAACTAAAAAACAGTCAATCATATAAATTAAATCAGAAAATATAAAAGTAAATTGACATTGTATTTATTATTTCTATTTTTTTTCAATTATTTGAAAAACTTCTAATTCATCAAATTTACTACCATCTACTATATTAATGTCACCATAAGTCTCCGGGTTACTATTGATACTACCATCTGATTCAAATTGAACATGGCCAAAATAACCAAAATCAGGTAAATTACCACAGTAAACTGCATGTTCACTATTAATAACATAACTAAATTGAGCAGTATTAACATCATTTCTATTACTTATATTAAATATAAAACTTTCAGTTGTATTCTTATATACACCACCTCCATTCCAATCAAGTGGATTATAACCACCAACTATCTGCTCTGAATTTTGTATTTTGCCAACTACAAGGGTTTTGTTGATATTATCACATTTTTGATGGAATATATCAGCATCTAACCCATCTCTACTACTACAATATAGAAGTTTGAATTTATATTTGACTTCTCTGAATGAACTATATGGTGGACTTTTTCTATCAATCCAACTAGCAAAAAGCAAAGTAAGTTTTTGATTGATTGTCAATGATTCAAGTGTTGAATTCAATTTTAAAATTCTTGATGGCAATAAATTTATAGTGTGCTGTCTATCAGGAAATATATGATATTGTGAAAGAGATTTCCATAAAGTTCTAGGAAAAAGCATTTGATATGGTTCAATTTTATCAAAAAAATCATCTTTAGAAATATCCTGAAATCTTATTAGAGGAAGGAATTCTTTTAAAGTATTGCCCAAATCAACAAAATTTTGAGATGGCCAGTCTTCAACATTGATATTATTATTAATTTTTGGATGTTTTGCTAATCCCCATTTAAGAATATTTTCCCAGATAACCATCTCATTAACAAAAAAATCTTCTCTTTTGAGAATGTCTAATAGAATTGGTTTTTCCAATGATTTAAATTCACTTGACTCAATTAATTTTTCACTATATTCACCAAATTTTTCTAAATAGATGTTTTTAAATTCCTTAAAATTTTCATTGGCATAAATTAATTGTAAAATTTTAATTGGATTTTCTTCTATATAATCTTCATAATTTTCAACAAAGTATTTCATCATATATTCATAAAGTGACTCAATACCAAGTTCATCTGCTGCAATTAATAGTTCTAATACTTCAGCTCCAGAATAATTTTCAATTTCAATCTTACATGTGTATAAAAATCTTACAAAATAAATTATTAAACAGATTATTATCATTACTATATATTCAGTAATAATAATAAATAAACAAATAAATTAAATAATTTGAACCTACTTGAGGATAAGGTTGAAACATTTTTCATTAATGTTAACTTTCTTAATAATATAATAACCATTTTCTTTTGTTGCATCACTTAATGCATTGTTAAAAAATGGACAATGAGCTGATATAATAGATGCATGTGCATGAACTTCTTTAATGCTTGGCTTTATGCCAACATATATTTTTACATCATAAAAATTTTCTGTATTTAATAATCTTTCATTTTCGTTAAAATATTTTTCAAATAAAGAATCCATTTTTATTTTTTTTTCAAAAATTTGTTTGGTGAGAATAATTCGACTACGTCATACATATATTTGGTTATGTCCAAGTCGCATGATCAAATAAATATACGTAAAGATCATCGTTATCATTTCATATTAAAAATATACAAAAATAGCTTCTTTTAAAACCATTTTATCAACTATGTATTCAATCTTTGACGGAATAGATGAATGAGCATGAAATTCTATGATGTTTGACTCTTCACCAACATTAATTTTTACATCATAGTTAAATCCCGAACTCAATAAATTTTCAAAATCATTATAGTATTATATTTATTTTTAAATTTTTTTTTTTTTTTTTTGAGAAGGAAAAAAAAATTTAAACAATAAAAACAATAAAATGCAAAAATGTGACAATTATTTATTAAAAAAAATGTATGTGTGCGCAACTTTAAGATTTTTGAATTATTATTATATTAAAAATATTTATATACACAATAATTAATTATTCTAATATGTATGTTTAAAGACATTTTATTAATTCATACACTTCAAATTCTTCTATTTCTATCAAATGAACTCTTTTACCACTATTTCTAAGATTTAAGTTATTTTCATAAGAGTTCCAACGATAAGAATAATAACAGTAAGGTTTGCTATTAAGACTGATACGTAATTCTAGATCAGAAAAATCAATTAATTTTTCATGAAACGTTAGTTTATTTGATGTAATATGAATGTTTTTTGCACTATGATAAATTGCATTTTTAGAATCAATAACCCTACTTATTATTGTACTAGTTGATTGGTTTTCATCAATTTTAAAAATAAAACTTTTATCAGTTTGAATTGGATATTCTTCATGCGGTGACTTTTCTTTTATATGCCAACCAACTGGATTATAGCCACCAACTAATTCATCTGCTTCTTTTAATTTCATGATGGCCACTGTTTGTTTAACATTATAACATTTTTCCTCAAAAACAGACCTAGAAAACCCATTCTGTGTTCCACTAAGAATTAATTTAAATTTATATGGCAAATTATCTTTATCATACGGAATATATTCCTTTTCTTTTTCATCTATCCAATTAGAAATTAAGGCTTTCATTTGCAAACTTAATAATTTGCCTTTTCCTATCCTTGGATTTTTTTGTAGTATCAATGTTGGCCGCCATTCGTTACTAAAATAACAATGACTAAGAATATTAAATACTTGCTTGTCTATGACTCTTTCATAAGGTTTGATTCTATTGTAAAAATCACTTGGAGAAATTTGGTTGAATCTAATTAATCGTATAACATCTTTCAGTAAATCCTTTAAGCTTTTGATGTCATTTTCATTCCACTCTAAAATATTTTCTCCTTCTTCCTCTTCATCTTCCAAATTTTTAATTTGACCCATTCCCCATTGAATAACTCTATCCCAAATATAAATTTCTTCTATTATTAAATCATCCCTCTCTAATAAAGCCATGAGCATAAATTTATTAATTTCATTGAAATCTTCGGTTTTCAAAAATAACTCTGGGTTCTCGCTAATTAATTCTTTAAAATATTCTTGAAGTAAGATGAATGATTGATGCCTAGATGAAATTTCATAAATGTAAATTAAATTTTGTTGTATCCAATTTTTTTCTTTTATAATTATATAATTTTGTAAATCATCGATTAATTCATTAAAATCCAACTCATCGCATGCCTCAAGTAGTTCAACAATATCAATAATATTCAAATTGTCAATATTAATTATTCCATTATAAATATATCTTTAAAAAACAAAAATTTTTTTTTTTGGAAAGTTAATGTTAATTGTTATTTAATCGATTAATTATTAAAACCAATCAAGTTGAATCAAGCTTACGTTAAAAGAACTTCAAATACTTTTGGTGAAATGTTTTTTTTTTCAAATAAAATAATGCCTTCCTCTGATTTTTTTATCCAATTATTTGATAGGGCAATTTTAAAATATGGAGACCTTGATTTTAAGATTGTAGAATGTGCTTTAAATATTTTGACATCTTCCTCATCTATTCCAACTTTAATCTCTACATCACAAAAATCTGATTCATCTTTTAATAAATTCGTTAAATCGTTTATAAGTTTACTAATAAATTTTAATGGTATGGCGTCTTCTTTAGAATTTATAAGATCATTCAAGAATATTTGCACTTTTTCTAAAGATGAAAAACTATTAGACATTTTGAAATATATATATATATATATATATTGCTATTAAAAATTTTTTTTTTTTTAATAAATGGTATGGTAGTACAATTTATAATTGATATAGTAACACGAAATTTGCGTATATTAATTATGAAAGATGGACTCAACATTATTATCGGGTTACTTTAGCGAACATGAAGAATTAATGAATTCAAAAGAGAATTGTGATGTGCAAATATATGTTGGTGAAGAACCAAACACTATAGAAATTTATGCACACTCATTTATTCTTTTTGCTCATTGTCGGTCCTTCAAAAATATTTTGTCCACTGCACAAAAAGAAAATGGGTATTTTATTGTTAAGTTACCAAATATTAATCCACCTGAATTTTTTAAATGTATTCTAACGTAAGTTTATTAAATTATATATATATATATATATACATATACATATATATATTAATCGAATATTCATTGTATTAATTAATATTAATTTTATTTATGTAATATTGACTTTATTTTTAAAAGATATTTATATACTTGCAAAATAGAATTAAACAATTATAATGGAATTGATATATTGAACATATCAATCATAGCTGATAGATTTGGTCTTGAGTCATTTTGCAAATCTATAGAAGTTCAATTTATTAAAAATATTGATAAATATGTGCAAGAAAATCCAATCGAAATTTTACAATTAATTTATGAATATGAAAAGTTTCAAGGAATTAAAGATCATTGTTTAAAATCAGTTTGTAATAGCGGCAACAAATTATTTAAGTTGAATGGGTTTAATTCATTGGAAAAAAAAATCTTATTGGCAATTTTTGAAAGAAATGATTTGCTTGTTAGTGAAATAGATATATGGAAAAGAGTTCTTGATTGGGGATTAGCACAACATCCAGAAATCATCAATAATAATAATTATGAAGATTGGTCATCACAAAATTTTGTTGATTTAGGAAAGACAATAAGAGAATTTATTCCTTTAATTAGATTCCAGGACATTGCTAACAAAGATTTTCGACAAGAAATTTTTCCATTACAAAAAGTTTTCCCTGAGGCTCTCTGGAATAATCTTTTACTTTATTATATAGATCCTAATAATGAATCAACTTCAAATTTATTACCTTCAAGAAATTTAATTACTATAAGTGAAGATGGTAGAACTCGTCTTGCAAGTTGGATTGATAGAAAAAATCCACCATATACTTCATTCAGGGAAGTCAAATATGATTTTAAACTTTTATATGCTAGTAGCAAAGATGGTTTAAGTGCAAATATATTTCATCAAAAATGTGATAATATTAGCAAAACACTTGTAATTGGTAAAATACAAAATCCAGAGCAATTAGTTGGTGGTTATAATCCATTTGATTGGAGTGGATGTAGACATAAAGGTACAACTGAAAGTTTTATTTTTAGTAGTACAAAATATAGTTATGTTAGAAATCTAAACAACATAAAGAATGCAATTTATTGTAATCCTTCTCATTTGCCCACTTTTGGTGACAAGGATTGTCCTGATATTAAATTTA